ATTTCTATTTTAAGCATGAAGCATGAATAGCGCATTTTCTTTGAAGTGCTGGAATTATCTTCGCAGAATTCAACATTCATAGTCCAGCGGGTCCCCTCCGTGGAAATTCTAGAATAATTTCAGATTGCCGGGCCGTGCGAGCCATTACCAATTCGGATTATAGGGCACATTCTACTCCTTTACTCTCCAAATTAGGAATTTCAGACATTTATCAAATCAACACGTTTCAAACAGCTAAATTTATGTACTATTATCATAACAACCTGTTGCCTCCATTGTTTTTCAACTTGTTTTTTACAAACAGTCAAATTCATGGCTATAGCACCGGAACAGCCATAATTATTGCGCGCATCATTGCCGGACTAATCTAAAAAATTCATAATTCTTTTACCAAGGTCCAAAGATCTGGAATTCCCTTCCTGTTACAATTACTTCATTGTCAAGTTTTCCCTTTTATTAAAGAAAAAACTGCAAGAGTTTTTAGTAAAATAATTACTGAACTGGCAAAGCCGCACACTGTTGCACTATCTATGTAACCGTATTGTTACGTACGAGGTGGCCTCAACTAAAAGCCTGGTGGTTTCTAGAGGTCACCTTGCCTCGCATTAAAATATTTATAAATACTGTACATTAAGTAAAAAGGCAAAATAAACAGAATGAATGATGAATGTAGTATTTTATAAACACTTCCCAGCTGCCGGGTATCTAGACACAATATTTTTTATGAATTAAAAGCCCCAGAAGGTAGTGGCAATCAGTGGACTTGGACAAAAGACTTTTGAGAAACGTCACGCGTCACGCAGTTCAATATGTTGTAATCATCAGATTTTAGTCTTTGATTGACAGTTTTTCCTTATTTGGAGTTAGCATGCGGTCGGAAGTTTTGTGGTAGTCGAAGAAGCAGTTTTTGGCTTAAGATAAAAAAGCGAAAACCGTCGATGTAAAGTGAAGTTTTGGGATTAAACCGTTGCCGGACCCGTACGTTTATTTGCCGTGGTTTATCATTGTCACATTTTGGCGACCACGACGGGAGGAAACCGGGAAACTAAGTGGAGATTTACCGTACGTTAGCACCTAGTGGTAAGTTTGAATTTTATCAGTGTTTACTCCGTTGTTGTCGCTCAACTTGCGGGTTAAGATGTCCGATGTAGAAAATCCTGACGCCGATGATGCTCTGAGAACCGAACAGACCTAAAAAAAGACGATGAACCGAAACTGGAGAAAGAGAAAGCATTCATGAAGCTGAAACGACAACAGCGCCCGCGAAAATCCGAGATGACCAAAATTCGCCATCACATCGGCAGGTATATTTTGCAGGGCGCAGGTTGCAGGTTGCAGGTTGAAATTTAATTATAACTGGAAAACCGCTGGCACTAAAAATAATTAATAACCGATATACTCGTCAGGGGTTCTTACATAAAGTAGTTCGCCTCTTTCGCATAGTGAACACACGATTGATCCGCTATAAGTACTTATCAATCGACACGCTGAGACCAAATCAAAGGCATGAAAGGCCATTTTTACTCACCTGTGAACGCCTTTGTTTTAAGGGTTAAAGGTGATCCTTTGATATGCCTTTGTGCACTGTCAAAGGTGGGTCAAAAGTGTAATCAAATTTGTCTCCGATTCAAGTCAAAGGTTTGCAAAAGACGTGTTCGAAGATGCTTGTGACGCAGGCCAAAGGTTTGTCAAAGGTGCTCTGCGCGTTCCACGCTCGCGCGTCTCGCCCGAACTTCTCGCTCGCGCTCCTCTTTCGCGCTTTGCGACCGTTGATCACATCTCGCGCGATCCACATCTTATATGCTTTTTTCTGCTTGCTACACTAGCTTTGTAGCTCAGCATACGAAAGATGCAATCATATCCGTACTCTTGTTTTATGTCTGACAAGTTTTGAAGAATGTATGAGCTTTAATAAGGTTATTTTTGTTCCAAACTATTGACGAATGTTAACGGAAAAGCGGCCTGGAAAGATCATTGCACCTAATTTTAAGAAAATAAATATGTTCAACTTCATTTCAGTTTTAATTTTTTTTCCCGTTTTTCTCAAGAGTAAATACCTTCAAGTACCTTACATAAATTTTTTGGGCTTCAGGTTTCAAAAAGGCACGTTACAGACTTGGTTTCAAACTACACGTAATGCGACTGATCATAAGGAAAACATTGTTCTATCTATCGTGAAAACAACAGTCAACAAATCTTCCATGGTATAAAGCGCATTTATCTAACATTGAAGTACTATGGCTAAATTCTCAGTTCCTTAAATTTACGAGACCAGACTAGACAATAAAGAGGATAAACGCAAAATTTCGGGAAAGATATGGCAAACTTTGCACAAAAGTCAACTAGTGTAAAAGCGTCCTTTTCAGATGGCACGTACGGTCCGTTGCATGGAACTCCTAATGTTTTGGCAATTCTCCTTTTCTGCTGCTTGCACTTGCTAATTCTTGCATTATAAGTGGAATGGAATACAGTGTTTTCCACTTCTTTCTCATCAAAGTGGTTAAACTGCCTTTTMGGGGTCAATGCCAACTGAATCCCCATGCTTTCTAGGGAAGACACATTTTAACAAAGTCTAAGGCGTTGACGATATTAATCAATGCATCTTCACTGGATAAGTCCATCCTGTCAACCATTGCTTGTCCGCATTTGTCTAAACAGATGCAAACAAACAAAACGTTGGAAATGAATATTAAGGGTGAATCTTGGCATTCTATTCCTTAAAGTTAACCTATGGTTTTTGCTAATATCACATAATAAAACGTGACCAATCAGATCATTACTCCTCCTCCAAATAGTTTGTGCTTCCGTCAATAGCAAATATGTATTTAATTTTACCGCAGATTTGGAATTTTAATCTTAAACTCAGTCCACTAACAAAAGAACGGTGAAAATAGTCTTGTCTGTCGTCCATAAACATATTTTCGCTCACGTGGTTGGTCTAAACGCATCACGTGACCGAATATGCCCAGGGTAAAACTGAGCAAAATATGAGTATTATTCCTCATTTTCAAAAGATCCAGCGTGTTGCGCAATATACTTGACTGAGGATAATTAACACTATAGCTCCATATTTTGACTCTAAAAATCTGTAAGGATATATGTCTTTGGCATTATGTGCTCCTCAAAGCTCACGGTTTTCCTTGAACTTTGCTCTAAGAAAACTGTTTGCTTCTGGGAACTGGTACTGTCTGTGGACAAATATTTTCATCAGAGTGCATCACACTTTTAAGAGAAACGCGTGAGTCAAGCATAGAAGAGGGGACTCAATTGGTATCCTTTTTTTGTATTTCTCTCCATTCTACTCAGAGATTTGGTCACACAGGTATGTCGTTAAGAGCCAGTTTAACAAGCTAATTTCACCGGCTGAACAAGGGCTTATCCCCAGCTAGAATTTCATAAGAGAACAAAGACTTGGGGTCATTTTAAAAGTGCACAGCTTGGCACAAATAAACAAAAAGCCTAACGCCAGTTTACCAGTCCATCTGTCTGCCTGTCGCTTACAGACATCTCACAACAAAGATCTTTTATGGTTGCAAAATAGCAATTAATCTAAAAAACCAACAAATCTGACATAAACTGTGACAAGAAATGAGAAATACACACACCTTTGGGAATATTGCTGTTCCTGTGTAATTTCCACGGATCTCTTCATGATCAGTAGTGTTATCTTTTTCTTTATTTTCCTTGTAGATCATGTGAAAAGGAGCATATAAACATATCAAAATAATTGCACATTTGATTAGTAAACAGTTAGCAACTACTTGTACACTTTTTTTCCACTGAAAAAAATTCCTAAAATTAAATAATTTAAGATGAGACATGCCTGCATGGAATCGCATAGCTGTTGCATTCATTGAAACAAAATTCCAGTCCAAGATGATGAATACAACCACTATAATTCCCAGCAGCCGCATCTCATGGAGGGAAATGGCCATTATCCAGTGAAAATTTGCCAACAAAATTTTAAAGTGAGTAAAAGCAAATAAAGGTCTTTGTCAATTTACTTTTACTAAGTTATTATCAAATCCTCTACGCCTTAAATTCTCTACTGATCCCATCAATAGTTATGAATTAATC